GATTAATTGGTTGAAAGATCTAAAGTTTCTTTCCAATGTTCTAATGAGGTTCATGCCATATGTTTTTAGCAAAACTTCCATGCAATTTGGGAAAACAAACACTGATGCTACTAACAATATAGGAGGATGGGTGAAGTTTAACAGATGATTGTTGGTAATAATTTATGTGCTATATTTGACTTCTTCTACAAATTTGCATGTGCACCATTTACTTTGATCAATAGTAATTTTTTCAACATAATTTTGACAAAACTAAGACTGGAGTTAAATCATAAATACTAACTAGTTAAGGAAAAATTGATTGAGTCTCTATTATGTTTTTTGTCGGAACAGCTAAACAGATGATTCAACAATCCAATCCTGCAAGTACCATTAAAATCCCACTTAGGGTCTCTACTCTGAAACTACTAGACACAATACCAATCATATGTCATATATACTGAAACATGAGGGTGATGTTTTGCGTGCATTAAGTAATCAATTGTTAATGTAAAGATATGACACTTGGGCTTAACTCAAACCCCAAAAGCTAGCTCAAGAGGGGAGAATTGCTCAAGTCCACATAAGCAGACCACCGGTCCATTCCCTTACTAATGCGGGACTCTAACAATTAAAAATACTATGTGCCATACACAATCAGAAAAACATGTCTTCTTTTTATAGTTACAGCTGGTCCTCTCAACAGTCCATACATGACAACTTGGATATTTTTTATGAAATAATTCTACTCACAAGCTATGGCCAGTCTGCAGAATAACTTCAGGAGCCATCCAGTATGGAGTACCCTTCATGGACTTGGCACCAGTCATAGTAGCCTGAAGCAGTGCCAAGAGTCAGCTATAAAGTACCAAAAGCAAGACCAAAAATAATAAGAGACAGTGAAGCCAAAGAAGTCCATACCAATTCAACAACCTTCTTGGATGCACCAAAATCAGCAAGTTTAATGCAACCTTTATTATCGACAAGTATGTTTGCTCCCTAAAGGGAAAAGAAACCTCATCAAACTTGGAGAGTTGTGGGGAGGGTGAGCATGAAAACAAGCTAATCTCATACGAATAGTTGAAGAAAAGAATTACCTTAATATCTCTGTGCATAATTCCATTCTTATGCAAGTATTCCAGACCCAATAACAATTGTTTGGTGTACATTCTTATAACCTAGTATGCCATCAAAAGAAATAATGAGATGCCCCAGAAGATCAGGAACCACTATCTGTGCTGATAAGCAAATTTCAGGTTGCAGTTACAGTAGTTAAGTCCGTTCTGACAAACTAGAAGTGTTGGCTGTTGGCTATGGGAAGAACTTAAGAAAGGTTATACAGAAAGGTTATACATTGGGCGATCATGGTATCCCAGTTGCCTGTCTACTTGTACCTTGTTGGCCAGGGTCCGATACACACCTTGTAATCCCCTTCCTCCTTTGTGTAATACTAAGAAGTTCTGTTATTCGTTCCTATTTGAACTAGTTACAGCCAAATGGAATGAGTTTTTCTTGAAAATAAAGCCAGAAAAGCAAATGCATACCAGTATGTACCCTTTTGTAATTCAAATAATAGACATATGCAGCCAACACTTACAGATTCAGGGAAGGATCCAAATTTTCCCAAAAGTGATGAGATTGAGCCACCAGGAACAAATTCCAACAATATATTTAGTGATCCCACCTCTCTTGCAGTTCCCAAGTATCTCTGTGAAAAAAAAGCACAATCAAGAATTTTATACTCAACCTTATGCAATTCAATAGACAGCAGAACTGCACTCACCACTATGTTGGGATGGGAGAGATTCTTCAATAGATTCACTTCTTCCTCGAGCTCTCTAACATGAGCCTGAAAATTACAAATACAGATCAGCTAAACGAAAAAAATAGAACTTTCCATAGAACTAAACGAAGGAGATTAAAACTAGTGAAACATAACTATAGTCTGTACGAACATGATAAACAATCTTGGTTCTTTAGAAATCAAATTGCTCGTAATAAACTACTGTTACTACTGAATCTATATCAGGTAGAGTCATTTATATGATTCTTATATATCCACCACACTATTCAGACCCATTTCACACCACTGGGGAAGTAATTTATCTTATAGGGAAATTGATCATACACTAAAGCGAATAACTGAAGCAATCAGCTAAATCAAAATCTCTTACTTGAGCTCGCTCTCTTGAAGCACCATTCATCGCAATGGAAACCTGCAATTGAATTAAATCAAACAGAAAGTATTAAAAATACAATAACCAAAACTCACAAATCTCTTGAAATGTTTTTTTTAAAAAAATGGAGAAAAACATAATGAATATTACTAATCAACTGAAACAGCAAAAAAATCACCTCCTTTATAGCTAGAAGCTCTCCAGAATCAACATTCATCCCCATATACACCCTACCAAAAGCACCACATCCAATCATTTCACCTTTCCTCCAGCGGATTGGCGTATTATCATCTTTCTTATCCGCCTTCACCGGTAAAGACTCGGCTTTAGAAATAGCCGGAAGAGCAGGAACTTGAGACTTGGAGAAGATCCCTATACTCGATTTACGTATACTGGAACCGATTTTCTCAACGAAACCTCCAAATGCACTGCCGGCACCGATTTCCGAGTCGCCTGAGGGTTTGAAAACTAGAGATCGGCGAACGGAGCCGATGAAATCCTGCATTTTGAGGGAGCAAAGAGAGGGAGAGTTGTGGATTAGGGTTCAGTGATTCGCATTTGATCGTTGAGAAGTAATGGGGGGATTTGTTTTCAAAAATAAAATAAAGCTTTTTTTTGAATTTGTGCCTTACTGTTCTTGGAGTTTGTGGATGCGTGTGTCCACACTCTTTCTTATTTAAGTTTCCCATTTTACCCAACTAACGGCATTATTATTTGGTCCTTTTTTAAATGCTTTGACCAATTGACAATTTTTAATATTTTTCTATTTCTTTTTTTTAAAAAAAAACAAACTAATTTTTACATTGCACAATATGCTAAAGAGTCATGATGCACAATTTTATGAATTAATATCATATTATTAAAATATAAAATAAAATCTTTGTCAAATAATTATACTTAAAAGAATAAAGTCTGAATATTTGTGAATGATGAATATAGACTGAATAACGTATATATATGAGTTGATTATAAATTTTATCTATATCAAATTTTTTTTTGAGATTGAATATATCAAAAATATTTATTAAATAAAGTGATGAAATTCTGACTTCAACGAAAATAATTTGGATAAAATTATTGGAAAGTCATGAATCCTTTTACAACATGAGGTGCTAGAAGATCCATGGGCTCGCAAGCTACTTCATGTCTAACTTTTTCACATATTAAGGGATATTTGATTGCTAATAGAGTTATGCATATATTAGTAATGTAAGGATTAGTTATGAGTTAATTCATAATTTAGTTATTCATGTGATGGTTCTTTCATTTTCATAAAAAATTAATATGTTATTGATTTCCTCGTAACTTGTACATATATTAGCTATGCGAGATTGTCAATCAAACAACGTACTTGATTTGCTGAATTTATATATAACAACTAAAATACTACAAAACGTGATATAATATTGGTTTAATAGATAATTAATTCATGTTCTAACCAGCCATCAAACAACCTTTTAGCATCAATTTGTTAGTCTCATTAGAATATTCTATTAATGTCTCTTCAGTATATTTTTTTTGATAAATTGCTTGTTGTCCTAATTTGTTCTCCTTCCATTTTTTATTATAAGTTTAATTATAATTAGGCTTTGAATTTCATAACGAGTCCCAAAAATTTCTTGACATACTTTTCAATCTTGTTATAGGCTGATCTGAAATTACTTGAAATCCTTAAAAAAATTATCAAAGATTCATTATCCTCGATATTGAACTCCGCACAGTTGACTAAATATTATAATAAAAAAAGTTATTAGGTAGCTCCCTATTACAAATAAATTAAAAGTTTATTTGTTAAGTTTCTTTCTTTTGTAAATCGTATTGAGTAATATCAAATAGATTAGTATAACTACAAACATAAAATTGAATTATGATAGATAACTAGAATACAATAATCTGTCATAGACGACCTCAATGAATGAATATGAATATAAGAGTTGATTAAAAGCAAAGTTCGTTGAAAATGGATGAATTTTAAGCTTATTTAAAATTTGCTTTAAATAAATTTTAAACATGCTTTTAGAAAAAATCTGACGAATTACCATATAATACACATTATTATTTTTACTATGCATCTCTTCATCAACTCAAATACAAATATAATAAAAAAATATAATTAAATTTTTTTTTTTCAAATTTCAATGATTGATCATATAACACACTAATATGACTTCATGGACCTCAATGGCCGTTAAGGCTTGATCCGTTCATATAAGTCATGTAGCGTGTGCAATTTTCACCATTATTTTAGGCAAAGTTGTCTTCTCTACATCACTCCGTGCTCCAATATTTTCCAAATATCGCTATTTTTTTCTTTGTATATCTAACTCACCTCTCTTCACCTTTTCTTAAGCATCTCCCCTCTCTCACTCCCTGTCTCGCCCTTCTATATATTATACTATATCGCGAATGAATAATTGGTATGTATTGAATACAATCTATATTTTTATATCAAGAATGAATATAATAAGCATTACAAGACCAAATAAATACAAGTGATACAAATGTATTGGTCTGTATCAATCTGTATTTCTACATTGTTTTAATCACAAATAAATACAAGCGATACAACGATGCTTGTACATATCAGATATATTCTATATAAGCATGTATTCCTAAATCATAAAAAAATACACGCATACAAGTGCAAATAAATATAAATAATTTAATTTTACATGTATCGAAACATATTGTATAAAATCGTATTATTGCTACAACCTATATTTATCGAATTACAACTTATATCTAGTATCTCTTCAATCTCAATCACCTATTTCTTTTTTATATGATCAATAAACAATTAAATACTCAAACTATAATTATACTTAAACCTAAAAATCAAAATGAGTAGAAGTGACCCAAGTCAAGACCAGTGGAAAAGCCCTATAGATTTGACACCTTGAGAAATGGACACACAAAAGCAGTCGCTTGTCACTACAGCATGACAAGCCCATTCCCTCACGTTTCCGATTCCCTATGCGCTACTACTTGAACTCCAATTTTGATTTTTGGTAAAATTGAGTTATCTGCGATTGGGGTTCATTTCTCTCCGGTCAAATTCACTTGTTCTTCGATTATGGCTTTGAATATGGAGTCTTTGGCTGAGGCAACTTCTGGGGCCATAGGATCTTTGCTAAGCACCACTATATTGTATCCTTTGGATACTTGCAAGACCAAGTATCAAGCTGAACTTCGAGCTCATGGTCTGGCCAAATACAGGTGTTTACCTTTTTAGATATTTCTTTATCTGGTCATATCTATCAGTATCTTTTTAACTTTCTCTGTGTGTCTGCTTTTATTTTTTCAAAAATGCTTTTTCTCTCAGTTTTTCTTATGATTGTTTGTTATATGAGCATTTTTGATAATTATGATTTATGGGTTTTCGTGATAAGTGGGAAATGATCGCCGGTCCTCTAGTTAAATAACTCAACATTCAACCAAGTTCACCGTATAGACTTCTTGTAGCATGAGTGCAAGCAGATAATATTATACCAATTTTATAAAATATATACATGAAATACCTAGTTTTATGGAGAGACCACAGGTTTGCATGCCCCATTTTTAGGCTATAAACTTGCCCCTACAGCCTATACACCCTCCTCATTTAGTGAAACTTGAAACCTGAGATGTTGTAATATTTACATTAAGTCATATGCATTTAGTGTTGGAAAGAAATGAGTTGGAATAGGGTGATTTGACAGTTTGATATAGCGGAACCCAGTTAGTTTGGAATTGAGTGCAGTTCATCGATTGTTTGATTTGTTCATGGGGCTTCATTCAAGGATTTGTAATGTAGATATTGTCTTATCAATGTATGTGATAATGAATATGTGACCGTCATGGCTTTTTCATGCTAGAGGTGTCGATCAAGCTGTTTTCCCCACTGAAATAGCTACTTGTTCTCAAGGTTCAAGTAGAGTGACATCAATTTAGGATGTGGAACATACTCCATCACCTCAAGAGCAAATTCTGTGGCAAAGCCATCATTCTTGTTCACTCTTTTATCTATTCCAATGTTTGCTTTCATGTAAAAGGCATGGTAGTGTCTGAGCCACCTTGAATGCATCTCAATTATTCACCAAGTGGTTTTTTTCGCCTGGTAACTTCGTCTGCTAAGGTCGAGACAGATAGGAAGAAATCAGCTGGTGTTTTTTTTTCCTGAGGTCTGCACCCATTAAATTTACTAGGTTACAACTCTGTCAGATAAAGTACTTCTGGATGGCGTTGTTACTGTTAGAGAGATATAATTAAGAGAAGGCTTTTGTTCCCAATGAATTCTGATAACAAGGTTTCTTCGAATCTGATGCAGATGTTTGATCTGAATCCACATTTCCCTTAGCTTTTATATTACCTGTCAACCTTTTGACACCCGAAGTGCAGCTCCTTGTTGAGGACTTTCAAGACTTTTGATCTCTCTGCGAGTTAGTTCTGAAATATTGAGCCTCAGTAGTAAGAGGAGAAACAAAGGGGTGATATTACATGAGATTGTAACTGAAAAGCCAAAGGAGAATGTTATTGATTAAGTCCTTTGAGGACGTAAATAGCATGAAAGCCCGTCTAGAAGTGAAGAATGAGGTAGCTGGCTAGAGCTTATGACCCAGGCTCCAATGTTAGGTTCAAGGCCATTAGATGATAAAAAAGCATTAGGTTCAAGGCTATTAAGTTATAAACTTCTTTTTCATATCCATTTTGCCGTCAGATAGACTGACAACATGCAATCTTTCTCGGAATTGCATCATCAGCTCCCCAAATCAGGAAGGAGGTTGGACTTGGAATGAGTGCTTCTTTGGCTGCTTAAGGATAAGCTGCCAATGGAATTCCGTGATGTCCTAGCTAACCGGTGTTTTTTTGGGAGGGGGAGGTTGACAGAAGTGAAGAGATAATAGAGGAAAACTAATCTCAAGCGTTGCCAGAGCCTTTAAATCAAATGTATACAGTAATTGCATCAAGAATGTTTAGAGGAAATCATTCATAAAGATGGGTGATCATGACTATCTGTGACTATCTAAAATTGCAAAATGAGTATATATTTATCTTGTATACATTTTGGAAGTCCCATTTTAAATAAATGGAAGTTGATTGTTGGAAGGAAATTGTCTCCATTTCACCCGTAACTAATATAAATATGTAATGGTCAAATTTCTGAGTTGAAAATTAATGAAATGTAATTGTGCTTTTCAAGCAGTAAATATGCCAACGATGCACATTTTAAGAGTCATTTATTGGTTTGAAATGTAACTTTTTATATTTGAGGAAATTAAAAGTTCAAACTAAAGAAGATCAAGTTAGCAAAATATTTTTGGGTTTGGTTATTGACTATTAAAGTACCTAACATGGAAAAAGCTTAAAAAACTCAAATCAAGAATTCTTATTTGGTGGTCGGCATGATTGTGCATTGAAAAGGCTAGAGTAGAAAAAATCTCCTTAATTTCCTTAGTATATGTCTGAAAAAAAATAAAAAATATGTCATTGCCACATGATTCAGTTTAAGGAGTTATTATCATCAACAACAGACCATTGAAACCCTATTTATGTTATTGTATTTTCTTGAGGATTGTCTCTATAGTAGTAGTTAAGGAGGTTCAAGATTAGTACGAGACTCCGCGTTCCAATCTCGTTAGCACAATTTCACCACCTTTTTCTGAACCTTTTTAGTGAAAATTTTGGGTCAAATAACAATTCCAAAAGGGTCCTCCCACATAAGAAAGCATGTGGTGTTTAATTGTGTACACCTTCATACATCAAGATCTCCGAATACCATTTGTGCTTTTGATACATCTCGTGGTTAATTGGGGTAAGAGCTGAAAGAAAATGTGGCTCATTTCTATTATTAGGTGTCACACGTGCCATCTGTACACAAGAGGCATGTTTTTATGTACAAGTAGAGCGGTCTGATCAAAGAAATGGTTGTTAAAGTTACTCTTCGTTGGACGTTGATAGTGGAAAAATGATACACTCTTTTTATGGTGTATGCCACAATAACTGACCACATGTACCGAGTAGCATAGTTGAGAAATGGCTTAGCTAGGAGAACTAGGGAGCCATAGATGATCCAGATATGTTCTTTGGTAGGCTACAACATGTTGTGAGTGCTTATAGATGAAAATATTGGAGTGTGGCCCTTATTAGCATGTGCTTCGAATTATGATTTTGCAATCAATACTTAATTGCTACATAGCCAAGGCCCAAGGGTAAAGTTCCTTTACTACTCCTTTTGTGTTACATCTTATATCCAGTTTTTTGGTTTGCAAGTACTTGTATATCGGAAGTGTCTCTATAAACTTCAATTACTGCAAAAGTTTCTCATAGGAGGATTTTAAGTAAGGATTAAGGTTAATAAGATCTTTATTATCTGAAATTATTATCACGGAAGATAAATTTATCTCCTCTAGCTATTGAATCCTTTACTTGTATATATCTCACTATTTGTTCTTTATGTTTCAAAGCTAATTATGTTGGATGCTGATTGCTAATAACTGGTTTGCACTACTGTAGGTCCTGACACGTAAAAGAATGAGGTTTATAACTCGAACTTTTACCAAAAATATGCATAGAAAGCTACAATATTTATAGCATCTACACTGAATTCATCATCTGACCAATTTCTCCCTCTTTTTACTTGCTATACATGGATATATGCATCCATACAGACATATCTGGTAGCACTAATTTCTCTTTGCTTTTAAACCTCATTATGTTCTGATTGTCAGTGCTTTTTCATTGCATGATGTTACTTTTGCTCAAAAACCATGTTCTCGTTTGTTCATGGTTTATGTGAAATAAGAGGAGGAGAAAGAAGAACATTTGGAATTAGTTGCTTAATTATTCCCTCAAGCCATGAGTTTAAATAACCTTTACGAGGAATAGAAAATAAGAAAATAACGAATTTTTCATATTCAACAGTCCCCCTCAAGTTGGATAGTACATATTGCATGCTCCTAGCTTGTTACAAATATAGTCAACTCTGGATCCTCGAAGTGGTTTTATGAGAACATCTGCTAGCTGGTACTTTGAGTTGACGGAACTCGTAAAAACGCAACCAGACTCAATCTTCTGTCGGATCAAGTGACAATCTATTTCAATGTGCTTCATTCCGTCATAAAACACTAGGTTTGAAGTGATATGTAGTACATCTTGATTATCACAAATCAGTTTCATAGGTTCAGTGCCTCCAATCTTTAACTTTTGAATAAGTTGTCTTAGACACATAAGCTCACAAGTTGCCAATGTCACAGCCCAATATTCTGCCTCTGCATTTCACCTGGCCATCACGTCCTGCTTGCTTACTTTTTTTGAGATATTGGATTGCCTCCAAATAAAATACAATAACCTGAAGTGACTGTCTATCAAAGGATGATCCTGTTCAATCTGCATCACAGTATCCAACAATATTGCATATTCGTTGTCTTCATACCATGAATCTTGTCCTAGAGAGCCTTTCACAGATCTTAGGATGTGAATCATTACATTCTAACATCAAATAAATTGTCAGGTTGTGTGATCGTAATATAGTTGAGTTTGCCAACAAGTCCTGGAACGAGTTTAATGTTTGAGTCTATGAGAGTGTCCATAGGTTTGTAACTCATTATACCCGTGTCTTCCAAATGTCTAAGGCATATTTCCTCTGTGAAATGGCAATGCCTTTGCTAGACTATACCACCTCAATGCCTAAGAAATTGACCTTGAGCCTAACTCAACCATAAAACTAACTCACCTAACTCATGAGGTGAGGATTTCCCAAAATTATAGAAAGAGTCCAATTGCCCATGCCACAAACAATGTGGGACTACTAACACTCTGCATGCCTGGGACTGCGAACTGGAGCGTGAATAATATAATATGGGGTCCAACATCAGATAAATAAATAATTGAGATGAGCATGCCTCTGATACCATATGAAATAAGAGAAAGAATAAGAAGAAAATTGGGAATTAGTTTGCCTAATTATTCCCTCAAGCTACTGGGTAAGTTACCTTTACAAGGAATACAAAATAAGAAAGGGAAAAGGGTGAACCCCATGCACAAAGCATCCCGCGCTCACGCAAGGTTCAGGCCTTCAGGAAAGGGCCTCACCCCAAGAGTTTGTGACGTAGGCAGCCTACCATGATGAAGTATGCCTTTATTACTTAATTACAGGAATTTGGGAATTTTTCTATATTTACAATTTTACATAATATCGACTTTTGCCATGTTTAGCAGTTTATTTAAATATCTCTACTGGATTTTGTACCCAAGTATGACCAGTGATGTGATTGCATCAACTTCTTTTGAAATGCAGGAATACTCTTGATGTCTTACTGGAGGCCATTTCTTCTCGGCAAATTCCTTCACTCTGTCAGGGTCTTGGGACAAAGAATGTGCAGTCTTTTGTTTCGTCTTTTATTTACTTCTATGGATATGATTTTTTCAAGAAACTATACTTGAAGAAGAGTGGATTTAAATCCATTGGAACAAGAGCTAACTTAGTAATTGCTGTTGCAGCGGGGGCATTTACAGTCATAATAACCCAGGTGAATCATACTTGGCAGTTATTCTTGGACTAAAATTAATTTTATTTTCTCAAATATTGAAAAGAAGGTTGCCTGCAATTAGACAATTATGAAGTTTTGTAGATTTAAATTGCTGTGCTTTAAAGCTATGATGGCCTGCTTCCAGGCCTAGTTGAAACGGCAAAAGGAAAGGTGATTTCCCATGTGAAGTGCGCACTCTTATCTTTGTCCCTTTAAAGGATGTGCCTCTGGAAACCGGATTAATGCTAAAGTAGGTTATATGCTTCTGGTGATTATTAGAACTCAAAATTTGGTGATATATACTGACCCATGAACTCATACATGTGGTTCTTTTTTCATGGAGTATTTTCTGTTCGTTTTCTTAAATCATTGAGACCTCATACAGTTCTTGCGTTTGTAGGAAAACCTTGATTTCTTTACTAATCAAACAAAAAAAACTTGGATTTCTTTGGTAGCTGCATAATCAATCTATTTGATTAAAGACAGCATACTTTTCGTTGTCTTTCACTTTGAGTTGTCTACATCTGTAAGCTGGATGGCCTTGTTGCACAGAGGTGGAGATCAGAGAGAGTCATTCTTTTATTATATTTATTGGAACTTATCAAAAAACGAGTTCCAAAAAGCTGTTATTTCCCAGTTCATATATGTGCTTAATGCTTTTAAAGATTAAATAGAACAAGAAAGTTGCATGTCTCTTTTAGAGTGAAACTATCTGTACCACCAATGTGTAGAATAAGGATCTCTGACAGTGGATGTGGAGGTGTCTTCTGGCAGTGGTCTTTACTTTTGTTCTGGTTGCATCTTCTGGGAATTGTTTGCACCAGCTTGTGTACTTCTGTTTCTTATAAGGTTTCTTTTATATCTGTTCTTCTATTGATCTGAAGTTTTACTCTGATATTGCAGCCTCTAGATACAGCAGCTTCAAGAATGCAAACTAGTGAATTTGGTAAATCGAAGGGATTCTGGAAAACCCTCTCGGAGAGCACTTGGAGTGAAGCATTTGATGGTCTAGGAATATCCATCATTCTCACTTCAAATCCAGCTATTCAGGTATTTACATGCTTTATTTTCTAATGTGGGAGTGTTCCACCATTTCTTTCAATGTCGTATGTTTGTGATGCTTAAAGTACTCACCTGATACCCACTTGCATACTAATGCTTTACCTTCCAAATTTCGCATTATGTCTCGACACATTGCAATATGATATCACCAAATTATGTTCAGGGACATCAAGGAATAATTTTCTGTTGCAATGTGGTATTGTGCAGTACACGGCCTTTGATCAATTTAAACAAAGAATGCTGAAGGGGAAGATGAAAGGCAATAGAGAGGTGGAATCAAGTCCAGAATCTCTTTCTGTTTTTTCTGCTTTTGTTTTGGGGGCAGTCTCAAAATGTTTTGCCACCTGCATCACTTACCCGTTAATAAGGTATATTCAGTTGAGCATTTCATACTCAAGCGTGAGTCTATGCCAATTGTGTCAAACATGTAAAATGGTACTTGAACATCTGCTCCTTTTCTATTGTTATATACTTGGTCAGACACTATTTGCTCAAACATTAGAGAATACCAGTGCCAGAATCACCAAGATTTAGCCGGGAAGTCCCATATTGGGGGTAAAGCGCTCCCTAACAAAGGCGATTCCGTACATGGTGGGATTCAAACCCGAGACCTCTAGTTAGGATGAAGGAGTACTTACCACTCTACCATAACCCTTGTTGGTTACATTTGACATCTTAACTCCTACTGTATATCTAGTGCGTTGATGGCTCCTTTTTTTTTGGCGTCAACGTAGCTGTATTTACTCATATGCACTGTGTATAGGTGTAAAGTCATGATACAAGCTGCTGAATCAGAAGGAGATGCAGAGGATGAAGCGGAGTTAAAAGCCCGAAAAACAATCTCTGGATCACTTCATGCCATATGGAAAAAGGAAGGGCTCATGGGATTCTTTAAAGGGTTACAGCCTCAGATCCTGAAGACAGTTCTAAGCTCCGCACTGCTGTTGATGATTAAAGAGAAGATCTCAAAAACCACATGGGTTCTGCTATTAGCAGTAAGGAGATATCTGTTCCTAACGAGGACCAGACTAAAGAGCTCTTGAAAATTCTCTTATAAGAGCTGCTGCATGATTCAAATGTAACTATGCAATTAGCTCGTAGGTCCTTGTTCGAGACGTGGAACCACCTTGCACACAAATTAATTGTTTCATCTGATAGCGCAATTCTCTTTCAGTTTGTCTGTTGAAATGGTATGTTTCAGATTATCTTTTTATGTCTTCTTCCTGTATACAACAATCACGATTTGTAGTTCGTCTTCTTTCAAGTTCTACCTCTACATATCACTATTAATGTAAAGATTTGGTCATATTTCTACTTGTCTGCATTTGGTCTTCGTTCAGTAGAACATTACATTCTCCAGAAGTGGTTCAGTTTCAACTTTAGATCTATTTTATATTCAAGCATTTCTTTTCCCCCTCCAATTTGGTCAGCTTGTGATATTAAGCTTTGACGTTTTGTCATGTAAAAATTATATGGATTCCTACAGCCCCTGCATTGCAAATCTCTCTTTCTCTTTTACTTGTCTGATAATTTTCTTTGTTAATTCTTTCTATTAAGCAATTCTAGCAAGTAAATTAAAATACAAACTTTAATACTAAAGCAAGAATAACAAGAGAAAAGGACATAAACAGACTGATAAATATGAAACCTTGTCACTCTAAACTATTGCCCAATTGACACAATGCAAAACCTTCCTAGACCCAATTGCATTTTACAGTATAGGTTCCAAAAGCCCTCTTCGGAGCCTAGCTTGTTTTGGAAGGTTGTTACCAATTGAAATACACCACGTTGTTTGTTTGAATACAATGTTTATTTTAATTTTATCCTTACGTAGCAATCTAAAGTTATGTAATGACTGATTTGATATGATCATATTACCTTTTTCTTTTTCTCATTTTGTTTTGACCCTACACAAGGGTCAGAGCTAGCTTGTGGTCTCGGCAAAATTTTATACGCTTTGTATTGTACATGTGGTTAATTTTTTTTAATGTTTATACAGTAGATATCAACCTCCTTCTCTTAGTTCGTGTTTTTACTTCCTCCGATTTTGAATCTCCCTAACAAAAAAATACTAGCTCCGACTCTACCGATTGTATATATCTCCCTAACTAAAAAATACTAGCTCCGACTCTACCGGTTGTATATATCTCCACTCTGTATTTATCAAAATAATACAATACAATACGTGACAACTATCTAAACAAAGTGTAAATCCCAACGGAAAGAAGAATATGAATTGATGATACTGATCTCTCCACGCCTCTGTTTCTTGCTTTTCTGAGAGGATAAGATTATTAAGAAGAACCAAAACGGAAGATTGAGACAAATTAAGCATCAAATTCGACAGAATCCATGGCGATGGGAAGTGGGTTTAACCAAGAAACCAAAACTGGGGCATTTTTCACGGCCACACTGCTCATCTGGGTTTTCTCAGTTTTGTGGGAAATACTAATTAACAAGCGCACCAAACTGTTCCCAATCGTTCTGGGTTTCATTTTCTACCAATCGGCCAATTGGGTCATCCCCAAATTGCTGCGAAATCACGATCGCCTCTTCGTCAACACCTGTGTATCTCTTCTCCATTCATCCACTACATCTGCTTCAGTGCTCTTCATTTTGGTCAATCAGTCGATGATTTCAAATGGGGTAAATGTAAATCAGATGTTTGAACATTCGCAGCTTGTTGAACATACATGGCCATGGGCATTTACAGCTTTATGCTTTTCGTGTGGTTATTTTGCTTACGATCAATTGGATATGCTCTTACATAGATTGTACAGCGGATGGATTCCTTCGATTCTATTGCATCATTTCTTACTCCTTATCTGCTTCACACTTGCCTTGTATCGAAATGTCGCAATCAATTACCTCATTCTTACTCTCATTTGTGAGCTGCATTCTGTGTTTCTGCATCTGCGTAAACTGCGGAGAATGGCGGGTTTTCGTGATTGCAATGGCAGCATTTTTGTAAAAGTAGAATGGGTTCTCAACTGGACAACTTTTGTTCTAGCAAGAGTTGTATCTCATATTCTCATTACTGTTAAGCTGATAAGAGATGCCTCGAAGTTTGATAAGGGTGGTGTGGAGCTCCCTCTTGCCCTTTTCGGTATGGCTGGGATGAATTTGCTTAATACTTTCTTAGGAATTGATCTCTTTAAAGCTTACCGGAGAGAGATGAATCCTCAGAGGAGTCGTCAAAATCATCATGATTGATAATTCCAGTTGATCAAGAAGCCTGTAGTGTAGAGTGTACTTTAGGACTTGTGTTGGGAGCTTTGAACTCATGTATTAGGTCTTTCTTTTTCGCGTGTTTTAGGATAGTGAAAGATGAAGACTTTGTGAGTTAGGGGTTATCGCGAACCCCTCCAATTGAATTGTGAATCTCATGTTTGAATGTTAATCTAACTAGAGTATCGATCGTTCCTTCCTTCTTTTCAATTCAAGATTATTGGTTGTGCTTATGAGGGTTCAAGCAATTTTTCAGCTTGGTTTTTCATGTTCATTCAACTATAGTTCTTGATCTTCCTATCTCTTTTACTTGTTTTCTCTACTTATTCTTGACTGTTTTTGAGGGTTGATGTCTTTATTGTTCGAGTGTCCTGGATTTGGTGCTGTCATCTATGTCCCAGTTGTTCTTATATATTGACATAGGTCAATGATTTTGGCAATGTGAGTTGTAAAAGCCAAGCAGATTTGATGCCTGAAATGACATTGTATGTGGAGAATGAAAGCTGCAAAATATTTCAGAGTAGTGCAATACAGAAAATAAAAGAGACAATGGTATGTGTTTGTAATACAGGTTTTGTAGTCTTTTAAGGTACATTTTCTGTAGGGATAGTAGCTGATATTCTCCCTCTTTCAATTAGAATATTACAAAATTAACAACAAAATCAAGTACTGGTAACAGAAACTACACTCAAGATGTGAAAAATATATAAAAAAAAGTGTGAAGGTTTAACATTTTCACAGTAAGAGGAGAAATGCCATAAGGAGAAAGACTGCCTGAGAGATTAGACCAAGCTGAAAAAGTACGTTTGCTGAACTATTATCCGGTGTAAAGCTTCCCTCCAGGTTGTTTGTGGTCAAAATTACGACTATCCAGTTGTCGTCAGACCCAATTCCAACACCAGTAAACTTGGTATCATTCAGAGAAGTAGCATACTGGGACATTGTATAGTTGGAAAGAACGAGGTCTGGGACAAGGTTGGGAACACAAGCAGGCATTATCGCTGCATCTCTGGTGGTTGTGACATTCAATTTGCACTTGGATAATAGATTAGGATAGTCAGAGAACTGAGGTTCAGTGCCAGGTACAGTATTGGCGCCTGTTGTGTTTGTACAGGGTTGATCTTTAAATTGGTCAGCAATTTCATCAGCAAGGCATTTTGCTTTGTCATTCTCGCGCAGAGTTGTCAAATTTAGGGTTGTCCTGTAGCTGTTAATACTTCTAAAAAGGTTGTCTTCCTCATCTGCACCAAGGTGACACAAATATGAAATCTCAAGTGCAGATATTGAACCATATAAAAGATTAAAAATAGTCTTTTTAAGGGGATATTATGTGGAAAATACATCTAAAATGCACTCACAATGGACCCGTTTGGCCATAGATTTCCCAAGTAATATTTGGGGAAAAATTGTCAAATAATGTCTGTGCATACAATTTGCAATTATTTAGCAAATAATTTTGGCAAATATCCCAAATTCTCAAATACTAGTTTTTTCTAGTATTTGAGCCAAATATCATTATTTGATATCTTCTATAAATTGAAATTTTAAATCAAAACTTTTATCTGCTACAAAAACACCCCCTAAAATAGTTGTTTGTGTTGTATTACACAAGTTTTTACGTGTGAATATGAAAGTGATAATATGGTTGTTAATGAAAATGATGAACAATCGACAAAGAGTAACAAAGTCATGTGTTTTGTCTACTTCATTATGTATGGTATGATGCTTGTTGCACTCAGACCAAACTACCACATTGCTCCAGTGTCATGGAGACTACTTGTTATTTGTTGCAACGAATGTCCAATTGACTTGTAATACAAATTTATAAGTATTAAATCATATTTTTCTAAAAAAGTGAAATATGTTTCTCACTATGGGCCAAACACATGATGAAATTTCACCCAAATAATATTTGCCAAAAATATATGGAAAATTATGGTCAAACGCTAGCTTTCGTCTAGGAAGTGAATCAGACAGTGATGACTGATGTTCATGAAACGTTACAAGGTTTGGTGAATGCAGTTCAAGTTCTTCTCTTAGTATACATGATACTCTCTCCATCCACACCACAAATAACCCAAGAACAACAACATTATATCCACAGTAATCCCACAAGTGGGGTCTGGAAGGATAAGTGTATGCAAGCAAACCTTACCCCTACCTTGGGAGGTAGGGAGGTAGAGAGATTGTTTTCGATACTCAGCTCAAGGGAAAACATATCAAAGCTGATTGATGCAAAGAGACCATGGCAAAATACAATATAAAGCATGACAAAGCATATAGAAGAGATGAACAGTAACTAGACCACAAAGAACCCAAAAAGAGAAAAAACAGAACAACTCGAAGCTGAAGCGAAATTTCTGCTGAAACCTCTTTCCACATTTCAATTAACATCCATTTCTCAAAGCAACACATTAACACACTCTCTCAGTCCAAGAGAGGTTTTTCATAATTGATTTGCTTGAGATATTGCTGAGTAAAACTAGACCAGGTCACATGAATTTCTCTGATGGCAGAAGATTTGTAGAAATGATCCACCATGATCTCAACATATGGGTTGATAAAGATGTAAAAGTAACTGGTGATGTATAAGGCCAGTTTATCGCTACAGATTAAGAACCTACAGATGAAATATCATCCCTTATTTGAATATTGTTCCTTTAATGGCACCCATTTTACTAACGTAAGTTCTGCCACTTCCAAAATAATGGAGCAGCCTCATCGAGAAGAATCACTTGCATTGAAGATCAAAATCCATCGAGCACCCAAAGGTGTAGCCTAATGGTCAATGAAATGGGTTGACCAACCATGAGGTGTCAAAAATACTAGTCCTTAGCCTTGATGAACAAAGTTACTGTTGTGCGGAATTCGAGATAATACGAGAAAATATAAACGCGAAAAACAAGACAACAGATTTACGTGGTTCACCAATAAATTGGTTACGTCCACGGGAAGAGGGGGAGCAGTTTTATTATGGAGAGGCAAGAACAGAATTACAGAATAGGGTTTGTCATAGCGTCTATATATAGTGCTAAGCTATGCCCTAACAGGCTTGGGCCCAACATATAGAATTGACAGATAATTAAGGGTCCAATACAAGGCATTCAACGCATTCAGCAGTTACCTAATACTTGTTGTTAATGGGAGGTGATAGATATCTCGTGAAATTAGTCTAGATGCACGAAAGCATTCCCCGACACTCAGCTAACTTTTCCATGGATCATTTAGCTTGAGGTAAAAATATTTTGATTCTTAGGTAAGGTAATTTAATAAACCTCAGAGATCTATCTAATTCATCAAATCATCAGGTATTTGGGAAGCAGATCTAGCCCTATCTAATAATATATAAACGTCAATTACTTAATTTTCCACTTGCTCAAAAGAAGCTCAATCTTTCTATAAACAGTAAATTTGAAATACCATAAACTCAACACACAATCAGGATCTAGACACTCCTCTACTACTATTACTACTACCACAGTAAGCAAGCAAGATAATAAAGAATAAATTTGAACTGAACAACCCCAAATCTTCAAAAATAAAAAATTTTGAAATGGGTCATCGCTATCAAACAACAATACAAACCCAGATCTTCAAAAGAGGTGAATTGAATAAGCTCAACACCTCGTATGCAGAATCCAATTAGCAATTAGAAATGATGATAAAAAATAACAGGTTTGATGCAAAATGAAGAATTAAAAGTATAGTGAAAAGAGTGAAAAATTACGTACCGTCAGATTTGACAAAGGAGAAGAGAAGGGAATTGAGAAGAAGAAGAGAAAGTAAAAGATAACGTGGAAGAAACGCCATTGTTGATCCTCTACTTGTGATTGAGTTTTGAGCTTTTCTGATTTTATAACAAAATCCAAAGAGGAAAAATCATATATAGGGACTTGTCTACAGCACACACAATTAGAAAGCGGCGCACCACATGATACGACGTCGTTATCATGCTTGCTCTTTTCTTTCTAAAACATGTTTTTATTTTTCACTAGTTCTCGTAACTCGAATAAATTGTGTAACTCGAATAAATTTATTTTCATTCTTATATAAAACTTGAATCAAGACCTCTATTTAAAGTGAGACTATTCCACCACAGCATCACGTCGAATTTCATTTTCTTTAGCATAAATTTTATATTTATCAAAATTTCTTCATGTTCACCAAAGTAGATAGTTCGGAATCGTTGTTATTTATAGAAAAAAATATTTAAGAGATAAATTGAATATATTTTTCTATTTTACCGTTAGTAATAGTTATTTTTAGAAGTAATAAACAATTAATTAGTATAGAAAATCTAATTGAAGAGCACCTAAACATATTTTAACATTGTGATTGTTTAGATTTATATCACCTGCTCCAACTGACCGTAGATATTATTATCAATTTTGAGTACTGAATTTAAATCAAAGTATCCTTAAAATAGTTAATATGGTAATCATTTTTAATATTTTTTTTCACACACAAAAACCAAAATATTTTTCATTGAAGATGACTTCCTCAGCACCAAATTAATTTCTTAATTTAATACCACGGCTGGAAATAATGAAAAAAGAAATATAGATTCTCAAATTTTTTTTAAGGAAACTGTTGCTTAATTTTTTCTTTTGTATTGTACAGAATATATGTTGAAATGATTTTTTAGTCGGTGCAAGAATCCAAAAAGTAGAATCATATTTTTTTTAGCCTCGTACCAAAAATAATTTTTAACAATAATAGTTTAATTATAAATATTTATTTTAAAAGGTAATTTTAGTGATAATCATATTTTAGCATAATTTACTAATATCGATGAAAATAACATTTTTTTATTAATATATATATTATAGACTGATAGTAGCTACAATATTTTGTTGCTCTAGGTTGTATTTTAGTAATAATATATGCATACATCAAGCTTGCGATTATTTTATTTAAGTAGACTATCCTGCGTTAAGTCCATAAAATTTTAGCATGGTTTTATAAATTTTAAGAAGGAAGAAGTAGAAAAAAGAATTAAAAAAATAGGAAATTTTAGAGTTTGTTTGGTGGTTCACAAATATTAGGTGTAGAATCAACGTCAAAATGAAGCTATCAGATTATGACTATGACTCATCGCCAAACAGAACCTCTAACAAACACAGGTTTATTTCAACTTTTTTGGTTTGAGTTTTATATTTTAAAAAATGAAAATAATATGAATAACCAGATAGATCTAGAAGTCTGATTATCCTAACTCAGTTACTTTTTGCTCTAGTCGTATATATATATTTAAAAATCTATTAAATATCTAATGAATAATTAAGTAGAAATTCATATACTTCGTATCATAAATTTGCCTTTGTTTAGAATTTGTATAGAGACATTTTTGGGTTCTAACTCTTGTAAATGGATGAGGTTGATATACAAACTAATTAACTCCAATTTTAGGCCTTTTTCTCAATATTTGGTTTTATGTACTACATAAAACCTTTGGAAGTTTTGGTGATATTTCAATTTAAAAAGAACTTGTAACATTTATTTTATTTTTCTTTCTTTATATGTTAAAATAGTAAAAATGTATAGCCGAAAAAGGGTAAATTCACTTTAATTCGTAGTTAAGTACTTTTTTTTGTTTAGTGTGAAACCCGACTAATTCAAATTTGGTACCTAAAACCCAATAGGAAAAAATGTTCTTTATCAATAATTTTATCATACCCACATTCGCTAAATCATTTTTAATAGTCTTGTTACCTCTATTCTTTGTTTGGATAAAAATATTTAAACGAATTATACATTACGCAAATCAAACTATTTTTTCCTAGGTAAATACGTATATGCTTTAATTTACTATGACTGAATAGTTTAATAGTTCACATCAATTAATCACGGTTAAGTGATACTCTATTATTTATGTTCGAACACATATTCCATGATTTGATATAAATAAATTTCCTCCTTTTAAATATGTGTTATCAAAGACCAGGAGTTATATTTTTCATTTCTAGTCTTCAATTTATTTCCAAATTTATCCAATAATTCTGTACGGCACCACCTCGAGGCCTAAACCTGAGTTGTCATTTAGTTTATTTTTTAAAAGCATTTCCTGTTCTTTTAGGCTAAAATTATAATCATATAAAAAATTCTTTACGTCATTAATATATATAAGCTAATTTGTCAAGATCACATTTTTTACCATGTTTTAGCTATATAAAATAAATCGACAAGATAAATGTCCTATACTGTAATTTTAAGGAAACTAATTATTATAGAAAATTTGCATCAACTAATGAAATTGATACTCATTGGTCCAATTTTTAAAAATTGACCTAAAATTATTATTTATTACTTTTTCGACTAATAAAGTAGCAAACTATAAATAATACTCTCTCGATTTAATTTGTAAATATCTCAAATCCATTTACAAGAATCTCTGCATCCATACCTTGGTTAACCCTATAATATTTTACCAATTTTTTCAAAAATATTCAGTTTTTTTAAGGTTTAAAAATGCGTCGAAACAGTTTTGGATTAAGAAGTCAATTCTAAATAGGACTTGAAACACTAAATATGAATCCCAAAAAAAAAAAAAGGAATTAAATAATCAGAAGAGAGGCCTTAAGTTCGATATACAGAAACCAAAAGCATATTCTTATGCTTTACAAGTTATTATTTGCAAAAAGAAAAAACAAAAGAAGAAAAATCACGTAGATTTTCTCTTTTGAAAGTTCAAATGAATTGGTGGATACCATTAAATTTGGATAACGCGGCCACTCCAACCAATAGTATGCCCCTTTACCCCAACCCCTGTAAACATACCTTGTTGTTTCCAACTTCCTAGTCCTCAAGTTTCATCACATCAACCTTCATATATCAAAAAAAAAAATACACAAATATAAACAGCCATTTCAGTACTCTTGATTCTCAGAGGAAAAAAAAATGTCTGTGGCTACTGACGGGAGATTCGCGCTACTTCGTAATAACCCTGCAGCACTGACAGGGACAAACTTGAAGATAGTGAAGTTTTGCAATGGAGAATTGATGGGGAAGAAACTCAAGTATACAAAATTTCAGTTAAGGAGTAATGTAGTGAAGCCTAATATCTGCATGTCACTTACAACTGATATTGCAGGTGAGGCTAAGGTGAGTCTTCTATATATATAAATATCTTTGCTTCATTTACAATTTTGAATGAAGCATTGGTGACTACTGTATTTAATAAAAATATGGGCCACTTCTCTTCATAAAACAAGTTAGATCAAATGAGCCACTTAACTAATTACGCCATATCATTATGATGTAGTATTGGAATGTAACTTAAAAATCTTGAATCAGTCTCCAACTTTACCTCTTAAAATGGCCATTTTGACTAACTGTCAAATGTGGACAGTTGAAGGATCTTGAAGCAAAGAAGGAGGATGCAAGAACAGTAGTAGCAATCATTCTAGGAGGGGGAGCGGGAACTCGTCTTTTCCCCCTCACCAAACGTCGTGCTAAGCCTGCTGTAAGTTTTCTTTTCAGATAATCAGAGAAAATATTACTACGAGTGCTTGCAGAGTTATCTGCATCTCACCAATGAGTCATTATCAATTTGCTTCAGGTTCCAATAGGAGGAGCATACAGGCTAATTGATGTACCAATGAGCAACTGTATTAACAGTGGCATCAACAAAGTATACATTCTCACTCAGTTCAACTCGGCCTCACTTAACAGGCATATTGCTCGTGCTTACAACTTTGGCAATGGGGTCACATTCGGAGATGGTTATGTCGAGGTAAACATACAACACCAATTCTCATTTACTTAGTTTCAGGTTTTGATGTTATTGGCAGCACCATGGCTGATAAGTTGTAGTACAGGTCTTAGCAGCAACTCAAACACCAGGTGAATTAGGTAAAAGATGGTTCCAAGGTACTGCAGATGCTGTGAGGCAATTTCACTGGCTTTTTGAGGTACACACATGATCACATTGAATTGCAATATCCATAATTTAGTAATTTACCCTAATAACAGTGCAAACATCAATATATTCCAGAACTGCAATATTTCTGAAGAAAAATCGAAATGCATATGTTCATACATCATAACTGGAGATTTCAATTATAGTCGACCTGAATATAATTCTTGATGACTTGATGGCATAGAAGTAAACTAAAGGTCCACTAATAGTTTTCATATTCAACAAATTACCAATGCAAGATCAAGTTAGCTAAGTTGTATAAGCAATACTTTTTCTACACTCAGCTATAGCCAAGCCAAAATTATCTCATTCTATGGGTTAGTCACAAACATGAAACTAATTCTAGTAAACATTGGGTATGCAATGTTCACACTGATTTTCCATAACTTAAGGATGCAAGAAGCAAGGACATAGAAGATGTGCTCATTCTCTCTGGAGATCACTTGTATAGAATGGACTACCTGCACTTTGTTCAGGTGAAGACTAGACTAAGCTATAAGTACTTACCTTGATTGATATCATATATCTGAAATTACCTATAACTCCTCATTGATATTTCCATCTCCTTGACAGAGTCATCGGCAAAGTGGTGCAGACATTACCATATCAAGCTTGCCAATAGATGACAGGTAGCATTAGGAGGGATAATCTAGATACTACATAGGCTATTTCTTCCTCTCAACGATGGCATACTTTCTCAAAGACTGCTTGAAAATCACAACAAGACATAATTTCTTCTATTGAATCACTTCTATGTTTTCATGATAGTCGAGCTTCAGATTTTGGCTTGATGAAAATTGATGACACAGGGCGGGTCATGTCCTTCAGCGAAAAGCCAAAAGGAGATGATTTGAAGGCGATGGTAATTCTTGAAAATTTGACAGTCTCAGAGCTTAATCTACTTTAAATTTTAAAGTTGTTGCAATCACTTGACAACAAGTACTTCAGGCAGTAGACACAACTGTTCTGGGATTATCTCCAGAAGAGGCTAAAGAGAAACCTTACATTGCTTCAATGGGAGTTTACGTCTTCAAGAAGGATATTC